TCAATAGTGATGTCATTTCTTCACTAACTGCTTTGTACCAGCTCTCAGAGTCAGGTCTTCCTTGGATGTCGTCATATGTCAGTGGTACATCATCAACGGATGCACCCAGGGCAACTGTGGAAGTATCGTAGTCTTCCAAATACTTTGGTGTAGTTTTCTTCCTGCTACTGTGTCTACGTTCAGTTTCTGATGTTTCTTCGAAATCTTCAGTGGCTTGCTCCATGTCTTCCTCAATAGTTTCTTGTGCAACTTCTTCGATTTTTTCTTCAGGCTTCTGTTCTTCATAGAATGTTGGTTCTTCGGCTGCAGACTTCGTTTCATCAAATGTAATATCTCTACCAAAAACAACACGTTTTTCTTCTGAGCACCAGAGCCGATAGCCATTTGAACAATATCCTAGCATGAAGCAGGTTCTGGTCCTAGAGTCTAGCTTCCCCTTTATGAGTTCGTTTGGCAGTCGTAAATATGCTATACATCCAAACACTCTAAGTTTGTTCAAATTAGGCTTCTTACCGTACCATAGCTCTGCAGGCACTTGATCTTTTAAGGCTAAAGTTGGAGACCTATTTATTAGATACGCTGCTGTTAAGATGGCTTCAGTCCACAAGTATTTTTCCATCTTAGAACCAAGTAGCATACATCTCTCCTTTTCCATCAGAGTGCGGTTCCTTCTCTCCGCTACTCCGTTTTGTTGTGGAGTATATCTAATGGTTAATTCGTACTGAATGCCTCTGTTCTTGAAATATTTAATCATTTCGCTTGAAAGATATTCTCGCCCATTGTCACATCGAAATCTGCTTATTTTTCTTTCAAAGTGGCTGTTGACCATGGCTTCATATTCTTTGAAACGTTCGAAGACCTCAGACTTTGCATTGAGCAGATAAACTACTACTACAAAACTTACTTAGGTCATGTTAAGTTTTCTAATAGGAACCAGGTTGGTATTTTAAAAATCAATTCCAGTTTATTTTATCGTACAGAACAAAAAAATTACGGAATTATAACAACATACAATCAGTATACAATAAAACAATTGGTCGAAGTTACTTCGACAGAACTGCTTCGCACCTGAACTACAAGTGCAGCAATGCTAAAAATTTGAATTTATTTAAAGTGAAAACTCAAGACGAATTTATACATCACAATTGCAGGAATATCTTATTTTATAAAATTAAAAAAATATATTATAAATTTTGGACATGACATACACAATCATACCATTGGTGGTGAGGGTGATTAATCAAATTTTGGTTAGCATTTTGTCATAAATACATGATAATCCCAATATACATACTAAATTTGACAACAATCGGTCCAGTAGTTTCGGAAAAGAACTGTCTAATAGAAATCGACTAGAAAGACAGACAACCGGACGGGTAGACAGATAGACGGCAGACAAACGAAAACGGAAGACCACTTTTTTTCATGCACTAGGGGTCATGAACCGTGGAGAAAACATGAAAGTGGCAAGTGGCCTCATAAAGTCGATTACTATACTTCTTTATCTTATGCTCAGAAAGTAAAATGTATGTTAAGTTCATTACATATTGCTTTGCAAACAATTATTTTGGCACATGGCCTTCTGACAAGCAATATGTAACAAATTGAATGTTTTTATATTATAATATTTTGTTCTTTACGATAAACAAAACTCAGATTGATTTATAAAATGTTAGACTAATCTTATCCAAATTTCATTTAAAAATGTCTCCTAACAACTTACTAACACGACTCAAATTTTTAGCACGTAAATCTCTATGCTAGCGTTAAAAAAATGCACAGTAAAAACGACTAGTAAAAACTCAACAACTTAAATAATGTATTACAACTATAGCGTAATGTGCATAATAGCAATTTTTCTTGGCATACAACCAACTGTACAGATATTTTTGAAATACAGTACTGATTCCAAACGGTCTTGTACACTTTGAAATCACAAAGCCGGAACTAAATAAATTTGCTTCCGTGAACCCAAACTGTGAGTATCATGTATATATATATATATATATTAATAATTGTATACTAAATCTAGTTAAGAACAATAACTACTTTTTTTTGTTGAGTACTTATTATAATGAAGTTAGTTCCTATAATAATGGGTAAAATAAGCAACCATACCACAATTTCTTAAAAAAAGGAAATAAATAAAATGACAATTTATTAATAAAAAATCGCATGTAACAAGTGGTTTACGCTTGTATTTTTTAACAACTTTCATCACTTCGCTACAATCAAATTGTTTTTAATGCGATGTTTACACCTTACCTGTTTGCTAAATTTATTGCAACTAAAAATTCAGAATACAAAATATTTAGTTTTAATAAAAGAAAATACTTCGCGATGAGTTTTACCTTGCGATCAATTGATGCTGCGATAAATTTACGTGCGACCAATTGTCGCGTGCTACTAATTGTGCTGCGACAAGTTGTTTGCGATCAATTGTTTGTGACCAGTTGTCGTAGAATCCTATTTGTTTTTTTTTCAGGTATGACAGTTCAAAAAAATATTAAAGTCATGTATATATGTAGTTTGTAGTAATTTATTTGTTTGTTGTTGTTTATGTTTAGTTTTGTCATTATGGTGTGTTCTGTGTTTACCAGTTATTAAAATTGTTGAATTAGATTTTTTTTAATTCACAATTCACATATGTCCCATACGTGAGAGTTAAAAAATAATTTTTTATGAAAAAATACGTACATTTTATTTCTGGTTCCATAATTTCTTAGTAAGTTTATAACATCTTTTTAATGTAATAAAAAGTGGTCCAATTTTATTATCAACTGTTTTTATGAATTAATTTTCTGCTGTCCTGATTTCTGGTATCAGTCTTGCTTGAAGTTACTATGCATAATGGCTCCGGGGTCGACATATTTTTCTACAGTTTTGATAAGGCCATTACCTACATCATTGATTGGGGTCGCCTAATATTCAGAAGGCGGCCGCGAGAATTTCAAATATAACAAAAATAAAAAAAATATATTCAAAATATTATAAAATAAAGAATATACAAAATCTATATTTTTTAAACTTAACATTCTTAGTTAAAAAACAGTTATATTGACTCCCTAGAGCCTGTTCTGCAAAGGTAAATAAATATCATAATTTGGAACTAAATTAAAAAAAAATCTCTCGGTTTGTTCACGTTCTCTTTATGAAGTGTTTCTAAAAGTCGCCTAAGTTTATTTGGTCTCATGCTTTCAGCGGCCAATATTTTTAAACAAATAACAACACATAATGGTTTTTATTCACTATTTACTTTCTTTTTGTAAAACCAATATCTATTAAGTTCTTCACAATATTTTCCTAGTTTCACCCATGGTCCAGCTGTGGTACTCTGCTTTAGTGCTGAAGTTCAACGTCGTTTAATGTTCGCTTTCCAATTAAAAACTGATCCATAGAATGTTCACAGTAATAGTACCTACAGTTATTTAGTTATTACTATTGACGTATTTAATGTGCCGATCCATATATTAAATAAATAAAATATTACTACTGACCGAGCAGAAAAATTTCTTAGCAAAGAAAATCGGTACTTTTAAACAGCCTCAAAATTTGAGCGAGGATTCGGACAGACGCAGTCGGGCAAGGTATTATAAACCACAGATTATAGATAAGCGAATCATTGGCTACTACAAGAGTACAAAGCGTATTAAAGACCCATAAGGGGCAATTCTATAAAAACTTAAATTTAACAAATTTCCATAGTATAACTATTTAAATTCGTAAATCTGATTGGTTGTTTACTTTTTAACAACCTTTAAATTTTAGGTGTGATTTAGAATTGCTCCTATTCTGGTTCAAAGTATTCCAAATTTAACACGAAAATTTTGAAATCAAATACACAGAACATGAGTCTCAAGCATCAACTTATTATTATTTATTTTTCGATTTAACTTGATATTCACAAAAAGTTTGAAAACAATATAGTGTCTTGAAAGTAACTTTTTTTGTAGACTATAGCTCAAATAATACATTACATTACGAGGGGGGCGCCGACAAAAATTGGTGCACTAGATAGGGGGGCACGCAACAGAGAAGGTTGTGAAACACTTACCTACATGATAACTTAAACATGGATTATTATTATCGAACCCCAAACTATACATTACAAGTTTCAAACATCACGAAATGCAAAACACCGTATTTGAGGAGCTGAAAAATCTTTAAATTAAGATTCTTTTTTTGTTATTTATTATTCACTGTTCGGTTAACCAAAAAGGTGTGTATTTTATTACCTGCTAAGACGAAACAAATAATTACGCAACATAAACAAGTTTCATTGACGAAATGCATTTTAAATAAGAAATTGTATATACAATTATAAAAGTAAGATCACAGATAACATCACAACTGTACCTAACGAACCCTGCATTATATATAGATTCTGTGTGCCTGCATGTTCCATTGCAAGAAAATCGTATATTATGATGCAATATTAATGTTGACTTCCGACAAACAACTTTCTAATTATTTCATTTGAAATTAGAAACGCTCCTTAACACAAAAGTGATATTTTTTATTACTGCTAAAATTTATCAAAAGAGTAATATTTTACCAGATATATCTGAAACCCCGAAAATTTAATAACATTTATAACACATAAAATTTGACCAGTTTTGTGTAGACTTGACCTATATATTTTAAACTTATTTATCACCTAGTTCATTTATAATATATATTAAATTATAAATAAAACTCTTAATTAAAAAGGCAAGAACAAAAAAAGTTGGTCTGGAAAGTTGTATGTAACAATTGTAATTTAAAGCACCACGGCCACAGTAACTTCCTACAATATTTTTACTGTAGGAAACCACCAAAGTACATTTTCAAAATTCGAAACCTATCTCTATACATAATTCGAAACTAAACTCTAATATAAAAACATGTAACTTTTACATTAAATAACATGTGTAACTTGGTTTGAAATGACACACGCTTTAGGATGAATTAAAAAAAATCTATATCTACATATATCTGTAACTGCTAAAATTAAATTAAAGTTAGGAGGTGCCATCCAAAATTCGATAAGCTACTTCAAGCCCCTTACGAAGACTCAGTATGTATCCTGGAGGTGGGAGTGCTTGATTTTCAGTAAGTTTCTTAATTACTTGTTTGATGAATTTACAATCGACGCTAGCTGGAGAAAATGTTACTTTTGGCCAGTTTTCTTGGCATGCTCTACACTCACAAGTAAACCTATACAGTCTTTGAAGTCTTTCTTGTCGTTCAGTTTTGTTATCATACGCGAAGTAGGGCCTAGAACACAAAATAAGTAAAGAAATATTGCTAAATTTGTAGACCATGGAAGTTACTGGATAAGACAGTAACATGATATTGGTGTTACTTTAAGACGCTGCAATAAATACATAGCAGCAAAATTGTGGGATGTAGAAATTTAAAATAAAGATAGATAATGTAGCTGCAGTTAACAAAGTTAACAAGTTTTCACAAAGTTATGAAAGTTTGGCATAAAAAATTATTACATAGATAGTATCTCTGATTTTACTTTCTTGGGTCTTTAACATTTTTTTTACATGGAAAAATTATTTAAATTATACGCTTCAGAGTGAACTTACCCATAAGAGATGAAGCACTGTTCCCCCTTTTTGATAGGTAAACTGGCTCGAACTACCATCGTTGATCCAGAAGTATTCCAAAAGGTATTAGGATAACATGAATGGTTAAATAAACTGTATAAAGAGTATAACGCAAGTCCAGTCACGGAAGTATAAAATTTATCATTTCCATGCCAACTGACGATTGTTACAGCATTTACTTTAAACACCTGTTGATGATAAAGAAACAGTTCTTTAAACTTTTCTTCAAATACTTCAAACTCTTTAAATATTTTAATTTTTTCTTTAATCAAAATAAAAATGCTAGCACTTAATAAAGTCAAAACGTATGTTTGCTCTGGTGGATCTGCATTACTGTGACCTTCTAATTCTGAAATCTCTTTGTACCTGTCAGAACGATACATCGTTTCGTCGTTTTTCTCTTCGGTCATTGCCAAAAGTGTGATTTTTAAAGAAAACAACCAGAAATCAAATTTGATTCCGAACAGTTGTCCTACGTAAGGCAAAATTAAACATTCGTACTTATGATAATTTTGGAAAGCTTTTGCTCTGCATATTTCAGTACAATAATATGCTTCGTTGCAATTGAGGCAGGGAATTACATTGTAACAATGCTTAAGGCACTCACAGCAAAACAAGAATGGATCAGACGACATATCAGCTTGTAATTCAACCAAATATGGATTGTCAACGGCTAGGACTTCGCCAATTGCGATATCTCTGGAGGCTACTATGTGACGACCGTATTTTTCGTTCGCTTGTATTTCGATGCAGTTTCTTGCCGACTGAATTGAGGGATTCATTTCCGATTGTGGAATTTCATATGTTTTAACTTTAACGACTTTTTTCCGATCACTGTATGCTTTTGTCGCATCCTTCTTTCTCTTGAAGAGTTTGGCACTCAGACTCTCAGGATAACCGTGCCGGAAGGCTCTATCGATGTCCTGCAAAAATTAATACAGTTACTTTCTTACATTTCATTCTTTAGAAAAGGTTTTGTGCATTTCCGTTGCACATTGCGTTCGCTTTTCTATTGGAAAGGAAAAATTCTACCAATACGAGGCTGGATATATTCTAGTTATATATTTCCAAGAAAAGATTCATTGCTTTTACCTTTCATATGATAATTCTTTGACTTGTATTTGTTTAGTGGTTGCAAGGTGATCAATTTCCCACCGATGCATTCGCAAAAATTCAAATTTCGAGTCAAAATCTAGGTCAGAAACGAAACTAAATAACTACTCCGCTTTCTATTCTGGTCAATAATCCGCAGTGTTTAAAAAAAAATTAATTTTCGCACATAAATCCACACTCAAATATACAGATATTACAAATATCTTATTTAGCTGCTTGTTTTTTAAACTTTATACATAAAAGTTTGTAATTTTGGTTTCAATATCTTTTCTTACAGCTTCTGAAATATGTAGTTGCATATTTTTTTTAATTATACATAAGGCGTTCACAAAGTATAGAACCACCCCTAAATCTTTTTAAAACTTTATGCGACTTCGTAAATAAGTCTATACTATATAAATGATTCATACATTCACCTCTCGTTGGAAAATTGTAATTCTTTTAAATTAAAGAATTTTGCTGCTTCTAAGAAAAGATGTTTTTACAATCAAAATTTAATTAAAAGAAAATCAATTAGTTAAGTTAGATCTTAAGCCTTTCAATATTAGCATTCAACAGTTTTTTTTTTGCTCTATTGATATTAGGTATTATGATATTGGGGTGTCCTGAGTTGAAAATTTAAATTTCGCGCTGAGGAAGAAAAGAAAAATTGAAAATAATTTCAGTAACGTAGACAATCACCCATGTTGCAGTGTATTTGGGAGAATAGCCAAAAAATCACACTTAGGCTGGTAGATAAATGGAATTTCGTAAGACAAGACGTGGAAAATGCTAAAAAGGCACCTATTTACTCCTGTGTTTGGTGTGCACTTCTCGTTTAGTGAGTTGTAAGTGCAGTGAAAACACCTGAAAAAACTATATGTACGGGTAGTATAAAACGTCTAAAGACCAGACACCGATTATGGGTCTAACAACGACTACCAATATATCTTTCAAATATGAAAAGCCCATCGAATATTATCAAAGTTTAGTTTAGTAACGGTGGAAATCCGAAGATCATGACTTATGAGAAAGAGGTTTTTATGTATACACCTAATGGAGGCATTCGTCATCAAACAATCGTCTGGAGGCGCAAGATTACGCATTTAATTATTGGAAAAATTTTCGAAGCAGTTTAATCGGACACACTGGGCAATACAAATTTTTGAACAATTTTCTAGGGTTTTTTATGGAAAAATTCGCAGCAAAAACATTTGTAAAAATACACTTAACAAAAAAAGCTAAATAAAACCCAACAGTTTCATATTACAAACACTGATAAGAGTGATAACTACACAAATTTATTGGCCACAACTACATCTAATAATTTTCAGGCATGATCAAAGTCACAGCAAATTATTTAAAGACTCACCGCTAAACATTCTTCATAAAAACCCATATAAAAAAGGGCTGCAGATCTGTTGCCATATGCAACTGACACCTCCTCATCACTCTTAGCGAAACTGAGACTTTGTGTATAAAGTATCAGTGCATCTTTATCACTTTTGTTTTGGAATTGAACATTCCCTAATTTTCTTAATTCGGATGCCTTGACATCAGATTTAGTAACGTGGGGTTTAATTTGCTGGATCTTGGATTTTATATGTGCAACTTCTTCCTCTTGATTTAGAAAAAAATTCATTCGGGCAGCGTTAGTTGTGCATTTCTTGAACTCACTTTCATCTTTAAGATATCGTGGCCTGTAGCGTTGAATCTGTAGTTCTAATAATTCAGTATCTGTATACACTTTTTTTCCATCAGTCATTATGAGGACACAAGATTGATTTCTACAACACTTTCAAAGTTAGATAGCCGAACTGGTACATCGAATCTGAATAATGACCACGGTGGTATAACTCAGGTGTTTCAACTCCACTTCTAAAACAGGCGCTTTAAAACTGATATCGTAGTAGGTTGTAGGAGGATGACCGCCATCACGTGGTACTTAATTGTACTATTTAAGTTAAGTGTAACAATAGATCAAAGATGTCTAAATACAAATCTAGTAGATGATAGAGAATTGTGTTAGTCGGAATTTAAAGCAATTTTCCCCATCTTACGAAGAACAGGTGCCTGCTGATGTAGGATGTAGTAATTATATGTATATTTGTAAAGGATCTGAGAAAGCTTGCCAAAAATTATTACATTTACTAACTAATGATAAGACTAACACATTTCCAGAAAGATTTACTACCATTGATAAACAGTATTTTTTAAATTCACAGAATTCGGTTTTTCATGTTTGGATGAAGATTTCGTAGATTTTGAAACTTTTAGTGATAACCACATCTTTGAGTTTACAAAATAGTTGTTTTTATTTTATACTAGCTGACCCCGTGAACTTCGTTTCACCTACAATTTAATTTTGAATCTGCAAAACCGAATGCTTTGAAATCTTGCAGATGTTTTAAACATATGATAAGCATAATAAATTTTTATTCAAAATATACATACTTATACCTTCCAAAAAATTGATGACGTCAGCCCAAAATTTTGCCAAATGAATCCTCTCTAAAATGTCCAAGATAGGATGAGACAATACTTGTGATTTATCATTCCATTCATAATTTTTGGTTTTTCTTATAGGGGGTGTCTCAAAAAAATTAATCACTGAGTCAATTTATTCTATTGATTGAATCAAGAATTGCAAAACTTAATTTTGAAATATTTCAGACGTTTTGAAGTTACTGTTTGACATGGTAGGTTTTTAATCGAAATATATCTGTTTATCAAGCCCAAAAACTTGATGACGTCATCTCAATCTTGGTGGTGCCGAACAAATCCTATCTAAAATGTGCAAAACATCATCAGTATATTTTCGTAATTTATCATTGCATTCATATTTTTTAGATTTGTTTTTACAGTGACTCTAAAAAATGTATGGATCATTCAATTTATTTTAGAGAATAACTCAAGAGTTGAAGAAATGACTTCTTTGAGATCTTGCAGACGTTTTAAAGTTATTGTAAGCATGGTAATTTGTTAAGAATATTTACTTATTCCCCCCAAAAAATTGATGGAACGGCCCACTCGATTTTCGCAGATAATTTTGAGAATACAATACAGTTATTTTTCGTATTACACTGCACCAATCCAAGGTGGTATACCTGTTGATCGTAAATGTTGATTAGGTCATCACAAAATTGTATGAAGAAAAGACTCAACTCGAAAATGCTGAATATGTTTCATCATACTTTTGGTGCGAAGGAAGTTCTGTCGAAACAACGTTCGATCAAATTTTTGACAATGGTTGATATAAATAAAACTCAGTAGATGCTCATACTCGAAATACGAAGTATCTACTCGAATATCAAATCAAAATATTTCTAGTTTTTCTAGATGATGCTAATACTTCAGTAGGTAACAGTTGATGCTCAAGTAGTATCTCGATACAACAAAAACGGAAAACAGTGACAGTGTTCAACCATCAAGGCAAAAATCGAGTCACCAAAATATAAGTTAGTATGGGGTAGACACCTTGAGTTGGGAATCTCTATGGTCAGTGTTAGAAAGAACGCAATGTACAATTTATGCATAAATAAAAGCTAATTATCTTACGACTTCAGTTTTAATTTATCGTATTCCGTGATTCCTTCACTCGACAATGTTTAAATTTTGGGAAAATTTTCGAAACCATTGAAGTCGGTTGATCAAAGCTATACATTTGCATGATATAAATTAATAAATTTTAAACATAATTAATATCACTTATAATGTTTAAATATGATAAGCATAAATATTAGGGTGATTCAAAAAAAAAAATAATTTTTTTTTTCGTGCAAAGAGGTTCAAAAGTTTCTTTTCAACGTAAAAAAATACCAGTTAAAATTTGAGCTCTTAATATTAATATTAAGACCGTCCGCATCGCGTTTTTCTATTTCCCATAAGAATAACATGGGAAAATTTTTGTTTGCACCTTCTGATTTTTATTGCTAGCCCGTCGTGTGTCGTGAAAAAAATTCAATCACATATTTTTATAGAGAATTGAACGCTCTACAAAAAGTGTCTCCTATGATTGTGCGAGAAACCTGATAGTTGAAGAGTTATTTTAGGCTAAAGTTAAATTTATCCAAATTTTGACGTTTTTGATGCATTACAATAAATTTGATGGTCTTATTGGAATAAATCACCACAAAAATTTATACACATTTTAAATTTAGTTTTTTAAACAGTAATTGTTTATAATTTTATGCTATAATAAGGCCAGTAAAACTCTTTCCGAACATTTTCAGCATCAGTGGGTTAAAAAATCATAGTCAGGTTTCTCGCAAAATCATAAGAGACACTTTTTGTAGAGCGTTCAATTCTCTATAAAAATATGTGATTGAATTTTTTTCACGACACACGACGGGCTAGCAATAAAAATCAGAAGGTGCAAACAAAAATTTTCCCATGTTATTCTTATGGGAAATAGAAAAACGCGATGCGGACGGTCTTAATATTAATATTAAGAGCTCAACTTTTAACTGGTATTTTTTTACGTTGAAAAGAAACTTTTGAACCTCTTTGACACGAAAAAAAAAATTATTTTTTTTTTTTTAATCACCCTAATAAATATATATGATAATTAAACCGAAACTCGTTGTCCTAAAAGCCCACAATTATTAAAAACAAATCAATTTGTTTAAACATTGTTAAATTATCCCCGAAAATGTGCATTTTCCCGGCCAAAATATGAAAAATAATTTTTGCAATCTCGTCGTGACGTACGATGACAGTGACAGTGACAGCTGAGCTACCTGTCCGAAGGTCACGTTTCCCGGTCCTTTGTGTTCAGTATTAATTTCTGTTTGATGGCGGCAAGATCGTCGCTTCATTTTGGCGTAAAAGTGGAGCGTTTTAGCGAATTTCTACTTTATTATTATAAATATTACGAAACATATGTTGTGTTAGTGCTGTGAACGCGAACGAAAATGGATATTTTTCCGGAAAGGATCGAAAACGAGGTAAGTACGACTTAAGTTTTAATTTATCGGAATCCGTGATTCGTTTATTCGACAATGTTTAAGTTTTGGAAAAATTTTCGAAACGATTGAAGTTGGTGGGTCAAAGCTATACATTTTCGCGATATAATTAAATAAAATTTTAACATAATTAATATAATTCATAATGTTTAAATATGATAACTATTAATATATGATAATTAAACCGAAAACCATTTTCCTAAGAAGACGAGGTTAGCAAAAACAAATTAGTTTGTTTAAACATTGTTAAATTAGCCCCGAAAATGTACAATTTCTGATCTAAAATATGAAAAATAATTTTTGCAATCTCATCGTGACGTACGATGACGTCACTGTTACGTGAGCTACCTGATAAAAAGTCACATTTTTCGGTCCTCTGCGTTTACTTTTGATGTTGGTTTGGTGGTAGCAACATCAGAGTCCGTTTTGGCTTAAAAGTAGGGCTCTTTTCACGAATTTCTAATTTATTATTATCAAATAATAGTGAAAATGTGTTGTTTTAGTACTGTGAACACGAATGAAAATGGATATTTTTCTGAAAAGGACCGAAAACAGGGTAAGTTCGAGTTCAGTTTTAATTTATCGGATTCCGTGATTCGTTCGGTCGACTATGTTTAAATTTTGGGAAAATTTTCTAAACGATTGAAATCGGTTGATCAAAGTTATACATTTTCACGATATAAATGAATAAATTTTAAACATAATTAATATCATTTATAATGTTTAAATATGATAAGTATCAATATACGATAATTAAGCCGAAACTCGTTGTCCTACAAGCCCGAAGTTATTAAAAACAAATCAATTTGTTTAAACAATGTTAAATTATCCCCGAAAATGTGCATTTTCCCGGCCAAAATATGAAAAATAATTTTTGCAATCTCATCGTGACGTACGATGACGTCACTGTCACCTGAGCTACCTGTATAAACGTCACGTTTTTCGGTCCTTTGTGTTCAGTATTAATTTCTGTTTGATGGCGGCAAGATCGTCGCTTCAATTTGGCGTAAAAGTGGAACGTTTTAGTGAATTTCTAGTTTATTATTAATACATATTACGGAAAATATATTGTGTTAATGCTGTGAACAGGAACGAAAATGGAAATTTTTCCGAAAAAGACGGAAAACAGGGTAAGTACGACTTCAGTTTTAATTTATCGGATTCCGTGATTCGTTCACTCGACTTTGTTTAAATTTTGGGGACATTTTCGAAACGATTGAAATCGGTTGATCGAAGCTATACATTTTCACGATATAAATAAATAAATTTTAAACATAATTAATATCACTTATAATGTTTAAATATGATAAGCATAAATATATATGATAATTAAACCGAAACTCGTTGTCCTAAAAGCCCACAATTATTAAAAACAAATCAATTTGTTTAAACATTGTTAAATTATCCCCGAAAATGTGCATTTTCCCGGCCAAAATATGAAAAATAATTTTTGCAGTCTCATGGTGACGTACGATGACGTCAATGTCACGTGAGCTACCTGTATAAAGGCCACGTTTTACGGTCCTTTGTGTTCAGTATTAATTTCTGTTTGATGGCGGCAATGTCGTCGCTTCATTTTGCCGTAAAAGTGGAGCGTTTTAGCGAATTTCAATTTTATTATTAATACATATTAAGGAAAATTTGTTGTGTTAGTGCTGTGAACACGGACGAAAATGAATATTTTTTCGAAAAAGACCGAAAACAGGGTAAGTACGACTTCAGTTTTAATTTATCGGATTCCGTGATTCGTTTGGTCGTCAATGTTTACATTTTGTATAAATTTTCGAAACGATTGAAGTTG